CGATGACCTTCATTATGCTGTAGATCCTATCATGACAAAAGCGCATTTCCGAGTCAGTACGCCCCATGCGCTAGCAAAGGCGGCTAAGCTCTCACATGCGCCATCCGTGCACTCGTGGTCCACCTTTCGGTGAACTCGAGCTTCAGGATGAGATGCGTGAAGTCCAGGCAGTTCGCGCATTTCAGCACCGGCCCTGTGATGGACTGAGCCGTACAAGCTTGTCTCTCGTGACCGAAGGCTGCACAACGCGTGCAGCGAATCTTGGCCTGATCCTGCTTATGAGGACAGGAAGGGCCAATATGGCCAATACCACAGCACCTAAAACACACTGATGGGGAGCGAGATGTCGCCCATCTGGTGCAAAGGTGATTTAATACCAGGCGACCCTTCCCTTCCCCATTGGCAGAGAGCCTGTGATAGAGGGTTGGGCAGATCGCCATAACTAAGTGCTGGCCGCGCCAATAGACCGCGCTGACCAGCTTGGCACCGTCGATACCTTCGGTGAGAGCAGGATTGCCCTCTTTGATAGAGCGACTCACTGAGTCGATAGTGGAACCACGGGCTATTGCGGGATTAAACAAAATCACACGTGGCCATAATCCAGTGCGGACCTTGGCTGTATAACCCTGCATGCGACTCAAAGACTGAACGCATGTGTTCCCGTGACTCTCATCGCTAAGGACTAGTCCAATACCTCCCTTTATTGGGAAGGTGGTACTGACGATGACCGAACCACTCAAAAGCCCCAGGGCCCTGCTGCGAAAGGTCATGAACTCGGCGGCGTCCATTTTAGGGGCGCCGTCATCAACCGAGCGGAGTTCAACCACGCAAGCCTTTTTGTTGGCCTTCTTGGCTTTCTCCAGTGCAGTTCTGTTTGGGCCAGGGGCAGTAGTGCCTTTACCCTTGCCATTCCCTCTACCTTTACCTCTGGCTGCGGGAACCGTCGGTGTCACGATAGTGCGATGGTGCACCGGAGTAGAACCAGGGACGCGCATCCTTTTGGTAGGACCTCTAGTGGCCGCCACCACTGTCCAGGTATGGGAGGGTTGGGCCGCGGGGGAGGGTTCCGGAACAGAGGTCGGTGCCTCGCGAGCTGTGCATACGAGGTGGGAGGTATCGGCGCGCTGTTTAGAGGGATTGGTGGCAAGGGATGCCAGAACAGCGGATCGCGCCGCTTCATTGCGGTGGGGAGGGGTGAGAATAGAGCCGGGACGTGCCGCGCCCTCGATCAGCGTAAGGTGGTGCCTGGTTAGCACTTGTAAGACCTTTTGGCCTCTGAGCTGATGCTCAGGAGGTAGAAGGTCTAGGACGCCAGCGACGGCGTCAATCACTTCCGAAGGCCGGTAAAGAGAAGCCGGCACACCGTTGAACTTATTGAGGAGCTCGTCCAGGCCCGCTGGACCAGACTCCCGTGGGGATCCAATTTCCACGCTGACAGGATTTACCATTTCTTCATCGGGAGACACAAGCGAGCGTGGGCTCAATTCGGCGCGAGACGAATTCGGATAAAAATCACCAAAATCATAGTT